CTTAAATGCTACACCCTTGGGAATTCGTGGATAGCACCAAAAATAAGCGGTTCGCCCCATGGGCAAGATGTAATTTATAGACACGGTGTTTACTGGTGACCCGTTGTGCAGTATACAAAACAACATACAGTCAAGAACATTGCCTCAGACACTTTTTCAATTACTATACACAAATTTATGAGGTCATTGTTACGCCCCAAAGTTGAAATGTAAAAAGTTATTTTATCCGTGGTATACCCATATATTCTATTCCGCCATTTATTTAGAAATGCAGCTATAGCCTAGGGTCAGAGTGTAAAACTAAAGCTCTGTCCATGATGAGAGTGATCATGTTATTTAATGCTAAAGTGCACACAGTGGCTTTCCATTAGGACATCAAAATTGCAAATATTGCCCCGAGGCTCTAGGATTACCATACAGCTCTCACTCTCGCGCTCGAGTGCCCAGAGATTGATAATTTCCACGGTCCTCATTCTGAATCCAGCCATATTAAATATCCTGCTCTACATGAGGTCTTATATATGAAGAAAAAAAGTATGCAAATAACTGTACAGTACTCCTAATTGGTTGCCCTACGAATGGCGTTGCAGTTATTAAACATATGCAGGTTGTCCCATGAGCCTCCTCGTCCTCAGATGCCGTCTGTATAAGTGGGCCATTAAGACATTGCCTAAGCTAATCTCACTGCAATAATCATAATCCTAACCTCCACGGATTAGCAAAGCTTAACCACTTGAACCTCAAGGGTACTTCCGACAAGGAAGAAAGCTGAAATGTGGTACATAGGTAGCTTTTAGGACATAAACAACAGGAACAATCTGAAAATCCGAGATTTATCAAATTAAGGCCCCCAAATCTCGATTTTAAGTGCCCCATAAACATGTTTATGAGTTACTCTTTGGTTCTATCGGTAAACTACAAATGAAAGAGAAAACAAACCTAGCAAACTTAGAAATATAATGCAATACAACACAGAGAGTAGGCTAACATAACAGTCAACACCCTACCTGGTTGATTACGTTCTTCTAAAGATTGCTAAGCAGAGAGAGATAACACAGAGACACAAAGAGAGAGACACACACATAGGCACACAGAGAAACAACGCCTCTGCGTCGAGGCTTTAAATCAGTTTCGGCCGAAAGTCCATTTTTTACTTTAAGTATACTTTCGGTTTCGGCCGAAAGTTAATTTTTTACTTTCGGTCTGGTTTCGGTTGCGGCCGAAACTGACATTGACTTTCGGTCATCATTCGTCAACCGAATATCTATTTTTAGAATATAACGCTAGTGCTACGTCTATCACTCTGCCTATCGTCGGTCAGTCGGTGCTAGGCAACCCTATACGATAGGCTGCAAACACACACACGTCAGCAGCAGCAGCTTGGGAGCGAGGTTACAGCCGCAACCATGGTCTGCTATATTCTTAGGTTTTTTCGGTAAAGTCACGTAGGTAAAAAAAAACATTAAAAAGTAAAATAAAATAAAAATAACGACGTTTCGGAGGCAACACAAGCTTCCATCTTCAGGTGGTACCGTCACAGCCACGACAGCTGTATCAAGTAAATGAGAGATTGCAGAAGCTACCACTCCGTTTATATAATGGTTGGAGAAGGTGGTGGGGCAAGGGCCGCATACTTTAGTAATATGGTAAGGTGAGGCTTAAGACTAAGAATAGACTGCATAACAAAGGCTGAGCCTTTCCATAACAAAGGCTGAGCCTTTGTTAGGGATAGGTGCGGTTTGTGACTCAACCTGTAACAGGGAGACCACCACTAGACATGGTAAAACTGTGATGGTTGTCTGTCAAATAAGATTGTCAAATAAGTGTAGTGAAATCTTTTTTGCATGGTTAATCACATCTTTCCAATGATTACTCAGTTTGTAACCGTCATCACGGTTGAAATTATGTCTGTGTTTTGTATGGCTTCGTGTACAAACCTTTGATGGTAGCCAGGAGGTTTGCAGAGAACCTTGGTCTCGGAAAATACAATTTCATGAGAGCCCACCGAGTTGTAGCAATGATCGGCAACGGCCGAAGAATCAGTTCTGCCGTGTTTCAGATCTGACTTGTGCTCACGGACACGATCAGAAACATGACGTTTCGTTTCTCCAATGTAGCAATCACCACAAATGCAACTCAATTTGTAGACTCCAGGATACTGTAAGTCAGGAACGACATCCTTCACAGATGGAATCAAATCACGGATTTTATGCACTGTACTGAATCGGACTTGGATCTTATGCTTGTTTAGAATTTTGGAGATCTTTTTGGTCATGCCTGCTATGTATGGCAACGTGATAGTTTTGGTCGGAGTTTCATGTGGCTGTTTCTGTATGGTGGGAGAAACAGCTTGGCGGATAGTGCGGTCAGAGTATCCGTTCATCCTGAGGGCCCGATGTACATGTCTTAATTCACCGGCCAGGTGGTGTTGGTCATAAATGCCATGGGCTCTGTGGTATAGCGTTTTGATGAGATAATTCTTTTGAGATGGGTGGTGGTGGGAATCTGGTTTCAAGTAGGAATCTGTGTGGGTGGCTTTCCTGTAGACAGAATGTCCCAAGGATCCGTCAGGCCTCCTCTCAAACAGAATATCCAAGAATGGTAGTTTACCGTCTTTCTCCACTTCCATGGTGAATCTGATGGATGGGTGTCTAGAATTGATGTGGTCCAAGAAGTGGTTCAATGCTGGGAGGCCATGTGGCCAGATGACGAAAGTGTCGTCCACATACCTCTTCCACAAGGAAGGACGCAGGGTGGATGTTTGGATGGCGTCTGATTCAAACTTTTCCATGAACATGTTGGCTATAACTGGTGACAAGGGGGAGCCCATAGGGGTACCCTCATTCTGTTTGTAGAAGGTGCCATTCCAGGTAAAATAAGTGTTGGTGAGGCAATGCCTAACCAGCGCAGGTACATCAGAATTCAATCCATGTTGGACTAAGTCCTCAATTATTGTTAGGGTGTCCGGTACTGGGACTTTGGTGAACAAAGATACTACATCAAAGCTGACGAGGATGTCATCAGGAGATAGTACCATGTCCTTAACCATAGAGACTAATTGGGTTGAGTTGAGTACTGCCGAAGAGGTCTTGCCTGTGAAGGGGAGCAGAGTATCTGATAGAAAACGGGCTAGTTTGTACGTAGGAGAGTTTATCGTCGACACGATGGGTCGTAGCGGGGTGCCTTCTTTATGGATTTTGGGAAGACCATAGAGTCTGGGAGGTCTAGCCGCCAATGGTTTTAGAGAGCGACGTTTGCTTGGTTCGATTAGGGAAGTCGAACTCGTGATGATACATCACTCGTGATGATACATCACGAGTTCGACTTCTATTTCATTGTTTTTGAGATATTTCCGATTCAAGCAGGTTTCAACAAAATAATGCGCATTTTATGACATTAAAATCGGAATAATTCGAAAATGGTAAAAGATAGGACCTTACTCTCATAAAGTATTATTGGTAGAAACCTCCTGGTTACACCAGCCCACAGGGGATTATTGTGTCCGTCCATCCATCGTGCAGGGAGGGGCTGGGTGGGGAGGGGCTGGGTGGGGAGGGGCTGGGTGGAGAGGGTGGGGAGGGTGGGGCTGGGTGGGGGGTGGGAGGGGTAGGGAGGGGAGGGTGGGGCTGGGTGGGGAGGGTGGGAAGGGGCTGGGTGGGGAGGGGAGGGTGGGGAGGGGCTGGGTGGGGGGTGGGAGGGGTGGGGCTGGGTGGGGAGGGGCTGGTCATCCCGTGGTGCCCTTATAAAACGCAACGTTTAACCTACTCACGCCGGCTTGTGCCCGCCCTCACAGTCGGGAATAATTGCGGAATACACCACGCTGCCGTTGACCCTGGCCATTGATCGAGCAACCCAACGTTCCTACCAGCTCCCTCTTTTTGTTCTTTTTAATAAAAAAAAAAACAATCTTTAAATTGAGCGGTTTCTGGTGGGTATGTCTTTAAAGATAAGACGTTGAATTTAGTTGTCAACAATTTTTGTTTCGAGGAAAAACATAATTTTTTGGAGTAGTTAGTGTTTGATCATATACAAATTGTAAAAAATCATATCAAGTTCATTATTATATTTATTGAAAACTATGTCCTGGCAAAGATAGGCGTTTTGAACTAGTATGTAAATAATATGTAACTTTACATATGCTAATAAAACACTTTTGAGAATGTTATGTTTTATCTGCAACAACTCTTATCCACTATATTTTTCTGTAGTGATGTTAAATGGATCACTACGGCGCGTAGCGCTAAGTGCTGTAGAACAAGGAAATATGGGTGCAGAGGCTAGCACGCCGTGCAGTACCATACAGCGGGTCGCTAGGGGCGTAGTACCGGGTGCTAGCAGAGAGCAGCCACTCCGCCAGCGCAGAGAGTAATTGCCACATAATTGGTCACTGGGGACCGAGGGAACACGGGAAGTGTAGCCAGTAATCGTCTATAAAGTTCCTGGAGGGGGCGTGGTTAAGGGCGGAGCCAGGCAGGTGGGAGATGCAAGGTAGTCTGGAACCTTCGGGAATGTTCCAGAGGGAGGCGCAGCCGAGGGTGGAACCATGCCGCGCCTAGAGTCATAAAAGGGAGGCCCCGATCGAATATTGGGGCCATCTGCAGGTGAAGTGGAACCCAAGTGCTACATCTTCCATCTCCGACGTCGTGGGTCATACAGTACGTTGGCTGTTCTGATCCGGTTATAGTTACCCTGTGTGCGCAAGAGATAAGCGTATTATAGTCCCGTATGTAACGAGTGTAAGAGTTAGGTGCATTATAGTCCCGTGTGTAACGGTGTTATGTAGTGTAGAATAAATGTTGTTGCCTTCTAAATAGTGTCTCCGAAGTGACTCACTACACTATGAAGAAGGGGCATAGACTGAAACGTCACCTTTTTTCCTTTTAAGGCCACAGTGTTATTGATGAATGTTCTTCAAAGACCTGTAATGTGTAACAAACTGTACATTGCATCGTGTTGCTCAGACAATGTAGACAAGACAATGTGGACAAGACAATGCTCACCATTCTTCCGCCAGTGTTGATGCGCAGAGGCAGCAAAAAGGGGTCGAAGATCATCCGACTGGTCTCGATGTTGACGGGTGACTGCTTCTTACCTACGGAGCACAGGCTCCATGCAGAGTTTACCAGGCCCCAGAATGCCGGGCCTACATCACACACACACACCGGTGGCAAAACATTGGAAAAACGTGACCGTAAATACTTTACGTTTTACTGTGAAGAATTTGTCAGGAACGTTTGTGGACATGTGGACCTGCTTATAATTAACTTGACCCTGGTTCTGTTCGTAAAGGAGAATTAGTCCACTCACATTTATTTTTTCAGACAATATTCCCTGACTAGAATGTTTTTTTTTCAAATTTAGTGTATGTCTAATGTTTGCAGTTTTAAGAACATGTATGCATTTAAAATATATATCAGAAAACTACTAAATTCGAAATTAGTTGGACATGACAATGTCGCTTATGAGGGGGAAAAATGTGGTTTTGCAATGAACATGATTGAGTGTAATATCGTGACCTCCATCTAAAGTACTACAGCTGATGGGTGCATTGTGTAGCCCATGCCAGTCGCGTGTGTGGCCCACAGGGCCACCATATCGTAGGAACGCGAATGCACGAGAGACCTCTCAGTCCACGGTGACATACAGCAGGTGGAGGGAGGCTGTGCACTTTTAAATCCACACATCAAATGTAAAATATTACCAGAGTACGACATCAACACACTTTGGTTCTTTAGGTAAAGTCACGTAGATATAAAATAAAATAAATTAAATCACGACGTTAAATCATGAAGCCATCCAGATATATAAACATAAACGTAACTTCAACCGAGAAGATGGATACAAATTGAGCAATCATTGGAAGGATGTTATTAACCAGGTAAAACCTTAACTGCTTTATGGTGTTGCGTTCATATCCGCATCTCCAGTTTTCGTCAGCCTCCCACTCCCAGCCCCGCTCACTTCCCCCCCCCCTGCCGGCATTTTTCCGTACTCGCCCTTTAATCTCTCCTAGCAGTGCTTCACTTGGCAGCGCTCCACTACCCCTACCCCACACCCCCTCTCTATCTATCCTCCCTGGCTCCTCCCCTCTCTCTTACCTATATAGCCTCTTTTTATAGCAGCCCTTTTGCACACTTCAGCAATTGTTTCTTGATGTGGTTGTCCCACCTGATGACAGACGCTTGTGTTGCGCCCAAAAAGTCGTGATTTAATTAATTGTATTTTATACCTACGTGACTTTACCGAAAGAACCAAAGAGTATGGATCCTTGCAGTCACGAAAACTTCAAATCTAGATTTATTACGACATCAACTTTAAAGAAGAATTAATGGCAGGTTTGTAGATTTCAGCAATATGCGAATGAATTATTCCTTCCACTTGCTATGTTTTAACCACACATTTCCCTGGGTTCATGTAATTTCTAATACACATCTGCAAGAATCTGTATAATTACACCTTTGGTTCTTTCGGTAAAGTCACGTAGGTATAAAATAAAATATATCACGACATTCCGGGCGCAACACAAGCGTCCGTCATCAGGTGGGAAAGCCTTTCCGCCTATGTTAATTTACTTTTTGAACCTAATGCGCTCCGGTCAGAGCTGTCATTGTTACCCAACTACAGTGACGCTTCAAGTCACGTGGTTTCGTCTGCATGCACTACAAGCACGCACTGTTGTTTTCGTTGCTGCTTGTGTTTTTATCGTCAAATTTTCTGGTGTTTTAGCTACACTATTGTGGTAATTATTATTTGTGCACCTATATCAATAACTTTTTTGAGAATGAAATCGGAATTAAAGGAAATGTTGTAATTTAAAGGTGTAATTTTAATTTTGCTAGTTGTTTACGTCACTATTATTGCCATTACATTAAGTGATATACGGAAACGATTTACGAGTAAAATTAGTACAAAAAACATTACTAAGGATTCTGTATGGTCTGGGACCGGCGAAAGTCCATGAGGGGTGACACCATGAGTTACCGCACTGGGTGACACCAACCCTAGCGACGCCACTGTATAGCAGGCAAATAAATCCAAACCAGTGGATTTCAAACTGTGGTACTGCGCGTACCCCTAGGGGTTATGTGAGCTCTCATCACGGGGTATGCGAGAAAAAACACATTTTATGGCGAAAGAATAATATGTTATTGTGCTTTGTGCCTTTTAAAATAAAATAAACTTACTACAATAATAGCTACTCCGCGAGTTTATTCCAATACCATGGCTAGCTCTTAAGGTGTACTTTATACAATTTGAACTTATTTCCTTATGTTTTTTTTAGTTAAGGCGCATCATGGTAGCATTATGTTATCTTCCTTGTCTTACGTGTGTCTTTCCCCGTGGTCATGTGGATTTTTTTCTCCGGGTCCTCCAGTTTTTTCCTCCATGGTTGGAAACATGCATTGTGATTATTTGGCGGTTATAAATTTCCACATGAGCCACTTCGTTGAGCTATCATTTGTGGCCCGGTCGCTTCTGAAAAAGAGCTACATAGCCCAGTAGGCTTTACCTGGTAAAACAAAGTTTAGTTTTAGTTATTTATTTTTAGTTATTTGTTTACCTTCTCTATACTTTGCACTCTGATCGTTTATGTTGTATTGTTGTTACTTTCTGACCCACCCCTAGATATCTGAGAAAAAAAGAGCTGTGTAGCTCATCAGATTTATCCAGGATAAATAAAAAGTTTGATCTCAGAAGGGGGTATGATGCGGTAGGCAATATTATTTTTAAAAGGGTACGCAGCCGGAAACGTTTCAAGACCATTGCTCTAAATGCGTGACGTGATTCTAAAAGTGGAAGGAAAAACCAGAGGACCCGGAGAAAAATCCACGCAACCACAGGGAGAAAAAAATATACAGCCATGAGGGTCGGGATCTTAACCACGACTTTCTGTGGACTAGGCGATGTAGTTAAAATCTCACCACCGCGGCACCATACTATCAAATGTAATCTTTCCGTTCTTTTAAAAGGGGTTTATATAGTTAATCAAAATTCACCTTGGAAATGCAATACAGCTAATAAGCCTGCCCAGCGTGTATCCGCTCCTGCCTCTGACTCCCCCTTTTCCGTCAAGTTTGCACCTCGAAGACCTTTAGCTTTGCCGTGTCAAAGGTGCATCTGTGGTTCGCTCGCTCCGTAGCTTCACTCTGATTTCTTCAACAACTCGGCTGCATGCTGAACTGACATCTGCAGCCCCGTTAGCTCTGATCCTAAGAATAGATTGTTGCACCCCGGTCATAATGCAATCAATCATAGTCTCAGTCTTACCACTGGGCTATCTCCATGTTCACTTGCGTCCCTTGTGCATTGCCGATAATTGATCTATTGCTGATACAAAGCTCAACGAACTTGGTTCCATTATCTGTGTATGTATGTTGAACTTCTTTTCCACCGTACATAACCAAACGCCACGCTAATTGGATCTGCAGGGGAAGGACAACAAACTGAACACTAAAGGCAGTTTTAAGGATGAGTTTTCAATCTCGATGATTTAAAAGTACATAGCTCCATTGGCTCCCTAATATCAGAAGAGCGTTCCAGATGGCCGCAGAAGCGCATCCGAAAGCACGCAATGCGGTGACCGTCTTTCTTTGATGGCTAAGCGAAAAGCCGCTGCCGCGAGGATGACTGTAGTTCGTGTGATGGTTTATGTTCCTTGACGAGATCAGCAAGGTTTTGTGGTTTATTTGTGGTGAGCACTTTGTGTGTAATAAGTGCGACCTTCCAATATATTCGACCCTGTCATCCTCTACGCCACCGGAGTACATGACCCCACTCATCATAATCTACTCTACATCATACTTTCTACATGCTTTCACACCTGATGACGGACGTTTGTGTTGCACCCGAAACGTCGTGATTTTTTTTATTTTATACCTACGTGACTTTACCGAAATACCCAAAGAGTATGGATTCCTGCAGTCATGGAAGTGTAGGGGTGTCAGGGGAAGGATTCCCACCAATAGGAGGGTTAGTGGGTGGGGTAATCGAGGAGATATAAGGGGAGAACGGGCGGGAAGGGGGGGGCTTTGGCGGGAACGAGATTGGGACGGCTGGGGACAGGTGTGGATGGGAGAAAAGGAGTAAAAGACGAAACCCCTGCAATCTTGTGTCAGCTCTCCTTTACATCTGGTGGCAGCGGTGGGATTTGCAATGGCTACGAAGAAGAATCCCCGTGGAAAAGAGCCAAGAGAAGAGGAAGCAGGGGCCGGGGATCCTTCCCATCCCAAGCAACAAGGGGGCCTGCTACCAGAAGCAGCAGCAGGGGGCCTGGATCGCCTGGAGGATCCCATGGAGGACTGCATGACCCGCGTGACGAGGGCACTCCAGGAGCTACTGCAGAGGTTCCCTATGGGGGGCCCGCCAGCGCCAGGACCCCCACCCCCACGCGTACTATGGGAGGAGAGGCCACGGGACCCGGAGGCCGACCAGCCGGCCGGGCAGGAGCCGCAACCAACCTCGTCACGCCAGCGGCCGCCGCCCCCGCCAAAACCCCCAGGGCGAAGCACCCAACACGGAGAGCAGGTGGCAGGACGGGCACGTCGGCTGGGGCCCGTCGACAAGTTCGTGGCCGAGGAAGAAGATTGGGAGGGGTTTGTCCGCCGATTCGAGGCTGCCTTCCACGCTCTCGAGTCGACAGACGAAGAGGCACTACGAGCTTTGCCATCCGTTCTGGGCGACGAGGCACTCTCCTCTTACACCTCCCTTCCCTCACACAGCAAGACCACGCTACAGGCGGCCTACGAGGCTTTGGGGGAGATCTACTGCCCAGCGGAAGGAGCCTTTAAACGGTTCCAGGACTGCCAGCGAGGAGCTAGAGAATCCCCTTTAGCCTACAGGGGTGCGCTGCTCGTGTTGGCGAGGAGGGCTTTCCCTCGCCTAGCTGAAGAAGCGCTCAAGGACCTCGTGGCCGAGCACCTCATCGCCTACGCTTGCCGTGCTGGCGTTGTAATGCCCGTGGTGACGCCGGGGAAACGCACCTCGCTTTGGGCTGCCCGGACCATCCAAGCCCACGAGCAGGTCATGGGCCGGGCGCCACCCGTGGACCAGGTGGCTGGCGCGGCGGGGGGGAACAGCCGAGCCGTTGCCGCGGCGCTACTGGGTCCAGCGACACCAACCGCCGAACCTGCACCGTCGCCGCAG